CCACCAGGGCCCAGAGCTCTTTCCCTCAACTCTGTCCAATGAGTTGCATATGCTGTTTGAAAAGGCTGCCATCTTCAGAAGGTTTGTCAGGTGCATAAAATTATCATTAGGTGTGAATTAGCAAATATGCCTCTATTTAGGCAGAGTTTACTGGGGGGGGGCTTGGAGTAGAGGTCAAGGACAGAGCACTGATTAGCACGTGCAACTCTTTGGGTTCAGTCCTCAGTACTAGAGAAAAACTGTATTATGCATTTTCTATCAACACTGTGTGAAGAGACTGGGATACAAAAACAAGATGCTCAGAGAACAGTAATAGCTGCCACAGCATAAAGCAATACATAATCAGCGTGATTATTCCTGGAACACTACGGGTTTTCCACATTAATTCAGGTGAAATGGCAGGTAATGTGTCTTGGAGGAAATACAGCATAAAGTTGGCAGTAGAACTTCTTTAATTAATTTTGTTGGAGTAGTTCTATCTTCTACACTATTTCAATTCGCAAATGAGCATGCAGAAGAAAGACATATGGGTTACGGTAAAATAAAGAAATAGTTACACCATGTATACTCTTAATAATATAACCCATCTGGAATACTGTGAAAGTCTTTCATGCCACAATACCAATGATACTTAAATTCTCCAAACGCTAAAGCATTTGAACGTGTGTTATTATTCTCTCTGTTATATAGTAACAATAAAATACACTTTGCAAGAGTATTGACTTCTCCAGGTGATGATACATCCCTGGTTTTACACAGCAGCGAGTGAAATCTGGGCTCTCTGCACACCCATATACACAAAGGCATGCACGCATTTTTCAAATTTCTTAGAGAATGTATGTGCTCTCCTTTTGCCCCCAAATCAGACTATGTGAAACTGGAAAAAGCTGGATTGAAACAAATATGAAATATGGGAATTGCTAAAGTGTTAGGTTAGAAGGAGCTTCATACATAATTTAAAACATATGAAGAGAAAGTTAAATACTGCCCCCACAGTACAATATTTTACCCCAGCAAGACTCTTTAGAAGGCATGGACAGCTTGAGTTTAGTAAACTCTAATAAAGCCTTGCGAAATGACAATGATGATATTAGAACAAAGAAAAAGAGCAAACAGGGACTCGGGGGCAGAGGGAACAGTGACATCTTCAACTTCTTCCCAAGTCTGTCTGCAGACAAATGGGGGCCGTTCGCCTCCAAGAGCAGTTGTCTGATGGCATTTGCTTGCGGTTTGCTCTTACATTTTTTTCTCGCTGGGTAATACAGAATTACAACATGCACACCACTTTAGTGCTCAACATTCCTGAGGGAATTGCAGCTACTTTATGCTCACATGCAACTCCAAAGAAGAGTTATGGGGAGGGCTCCGAGACTCAAAAAAACGATATGCAGGAAAATGGCCTTAGGGTGGAAGGGGTAAAGACTCAGAGGGAGAGCTGGGCTAGATAAAAACTTGGTGTGTTTTGTAAAGAGAACAAGATAAAGTCCTGAGAATATATTTTTAGTCCATTAGTATATGCAATTTGTGTTAAAATATTTATTTGTGGATGAATATGAATGTTTAAGCAATGTATTACTTTCTGTAATAATTTTGATTGTGAAAATCAAAGCCAAAGCTCTGAACTCTACAAATAAATCTCTAGATGTACAATAAAGTGAGTCAGACATAGAGGAGAGTAAAGATGAAAGAAAGCGCAGATCCTGAATTGAAGGTCATAAAAATCTGTGAAGGAACAGAAAAGAGGGTCTGGAGAGTTGACTTGATAGTTAAGAGCACTGGCTGCTCTTCCTGAAGACCAGGGTTCAATTCTCAAGACTCATGTGACAGACGCCAATCATCTGTAATTCTAGTTCTCGGGAATCTGACACCCTCTTCCGGCCCCCACAGGCACCAGGAATGCAAGTGGCACACAGATACACGAGCAGGCCAAGCACCCATATGCATAAAACAAAATAATATTTTTTAAAAGAGAAAAGATGCTTGGAAATAATGACAAGGACCCAAAAGAGAATAACAAGATTCATTTTTCCTGAGTGCGTACCATATGCAGGTACCACATTTTACACACAGTACTTGAACTTTTACGGCATATATAAGAAAAGCCATTGCCTTACTTATGAGGATACTGTTAACCAGAGTGAAGGAGTATCATCCAGAATGTAGGGGCTAAAAGAGACACAACCTGGATTGGACTTGCAACCTGTCTGGTCGGAAGTCCACTCTCTCTCCTTTCAGTGTAATATAATAAACCGCATAGATAACCTTCCGTGGGAATCTGGGAAAGGAAGACCATCCCTTCGCTAAAGGAGAGGAAAAACATTGAAGAAGCAGCGCTACAATGTGATGGACGACTGTGTTAGGATGCGTGGACAGGAGGCTTAAGAGGAAGTAGCCCCAGGGAAAGGGGAAAACAGCAACACTTAAGAGAGAAAATGTAGATGGTTCAGTATGGTTTGAAGAAAGCACAGAGTCCATAAAGAACTTCAATAAAAATCAATGGAAGGTGAGACAATAGAACAAAACCAGGGCATTCTGTCAAACTGTAGACAGAGAACACATCAAGACTCAAAGGTTTGGCACCAGGAAATGGATATTATTGAAACCATGGTAGAAGATTTTATCTGGTCAACATAGGTGATAGACACCCATTAATTTCTCTTTATCTAACCCTCAATTCCACCATTTGGCAGGGAAAAGACAAGCATTCACCCTGTTGACTTGCCTCCCTTGAGCATCATTGTGATGCGGATGCTGGGAGAGATGCAGGAGAAAGCTAGAATCCTGCCAGGTATTCTGGGAGTTAAAGGAATTTGGTCATCACACCTGATATGCGCCGTGCCATCACAGTTCAGGGTTATAGTCCTGACTTTGACACTAGGCAGGAGGAAGAGATGGCGGGAGACCTGGGACAAGGAGAGCAACATAGAAAGGGAATGGGGGTGGGAGTCAGCAAATGATTCAACAAGAATAAAGGAGTCACGATCTGGACAGAAACCCACTATTCAAACTAAGGCCCAACCCTTAGAGCAACGTATAGATCCCAAGTCATCTGCATGTGGGTTGGGGTTCATAAAAATCTCCTTTAATACCACACGTCTGAACTCTAGATTGAGCTTCGGGGTGCTCATGCAAACAGAGAAATACTCATGGGTGGGGTCTAGGTCATTCTCAGAAGTTCTGGGTCTGGACAGCTCAGAACCTTCACACTTCACAGATCAGTTTTCCAAAGAAGACATACAAACGGGAAAGAGGTCTATGAAAAAGTGTTCGGTATCATCAATAATCAGGCAAATGCAAGTGAGATTATAATAAAGAGTTCATGCCTCCACCTGTTAGGATGGATACAATCCAAAAGGCAAAGAGAGGTTTTTGTGAAGATACGGAGAAAAGTGAATTATTGCATTGTCGTTAGGAATGCAAAGCAGAACTGTCATTACATAAACAATATGTCAGTTCTTCAGAATCTAAAAACAGAATTATCATATAATACTGTGTGTTGATGATCTATACTCCCATGTTTATTATAGCAACTAAGATCTGGGATCCGCCATAATATCCATCAAAAAATGGATGGAAAAGAAATGGGTTATACATACACAATCGGTGATTTACTTAGCCACAGAAATGAAATACCACGATTTGCAGCAATATGAATGAACCTGGAGGACAATATGTTCAACGAAATAAGCCACACACAGAGAGAAATGTTCTATGATTGCACATATGTGGAATCCATTGCAACAGAATGAAATGGAATCAGCCTGAGTATCTTAATGGACCAATAGAAAGATGTGGTATGTATATATGATGGAGTATCATCTGTCTGGAAAGGGAAGCTATTTCTCCATGGTAGTAACATGGATGAATTCGTAGGATACTGTGCTAAGTGAAATCAGAGAGAACCAGACAGAGAGAGGCAAACAGTGTATGAGGATTTCAACTTGATTTGAGAAATTGTAAAGGCTGGACTTAATGGAAGCATAGAACAGGGACAGCAGCAATAGAGACATGCTGATAAGAGGCACAATCAGTGATCAGACGACAAGTTCTGAGGCTTTAATCCGGCACTGGTTGGGGAGAGGCAGATATATTCATTTATTTAATTGTAATGATTGAACAAGGTGTATGCCTATGAACTCAAGTTTTATACCTTGCATGTATTCAACATTATCAATGAAACATAGTGTTTTATATGAATGCATTATCATATTCTGATGTGAGAGATGTGTACAATTTCTAAGTGAAAAATAAAACCCAGGATAATCACAAAACAGAGATTGTATCTGTCTTATTCACCATCACACCCTGGTGCTAGAATATGGGTCCCCTTCATCCCATACAGAAGACCTTCTGAAGCAGATCAGAACTATTGGCATCAACACGGACACGTGACTCAAGAATGAAGGGATCCCGACTGATGGCTAACCACACCAACTTCCTGTCTTTCGAGGCAAGGGTTCTGAGGAATCTTCTGCATCATTCCTCTACAAGGTGTTCAGGAGGGAATGGCCTCAGCGACCCATGGACCCATCAGTTCACAAACACAGCTAGTTCCTGCTCTCCTTCACCCCAGCATCTTACTCCATGCCCTCACGGTGCACCCGAGGCCACTTCTCAAATGTTGAACATCCATAAATTATACTAACAACTGCTTTCTGATACTAGGAAAGGTGACCTAGACTAAGACAGAGGTCCTAGTGAGAGTTAAAATATTATTCTTTGTCCAAGTCAAAGCTCACTTTATTACGCTGTGTTACCTTCCTTTCTGGAAAGAACTGAATGATGCGGGGCTTCCAGATTTAGATGTAATCTTGATGTCTACTCCAGTCACACAACGCTGAAGAGGTCCCAGGGGTCATTCCTGGGCAATAGTAGCCCAATTATCAGTTCATAGCTTTCTTCAATTCTTCAAAAAGGACTGAAGGAAAACCTCCCCACCAGGAAGTTTTTAGGAACTTCCTGCAAATAGGAGTTAGTGGGTCAGAAAAGAGATCACTTACCTGGGGACCGGGCTGACCCTGAAATTGAAAAGAAGAAAAACAATTATAAAATTGACATTTATAATGAATATTTCCAATCGACCTTTCAATATAATGAAATTTAAAATAGTTCTAAACATTGTTAAAATCATTTCTAAAGATAGTAATATTGGTAACTTCCTATTGGATCTTAATATTTTGATCCTGTGAATTGAAACGACTGGGCTTACGGCTATGGCACAAGAGTGATTGAGTGTGCTCTGGCATCTGATTGGGGAAGGAGACACCCACCCCCCACCCCCCATCACAGTGATGTGTGAATGGGACACTGAAGGCACAGATCTCCCGACACATGGTTACTGACCTGCACATTTTGACACGGCAGAACTACAACTACAAAAAGGAGACACTGGCTCTCTCATTGCTCCAATGATTTGAGGTTTTGTTTCTTTTTGTAATCGTTTATTCTTTATTTTCCTTTTATATCTGTTTCTTACAGTATCACTATTATCTTTTATTTTGATTTTAGGAATTTAAGCCTATGTTCTGCTTCTATGTTCAATTAGATCTGTGGCTTGAGAGGTCATAGGTCCCAGGGGACAATCTACTATTATTGTGCTAAATGGACATACTAGTAAACTGACTCCCAGGGCCTTATTGTCAGAATTGCATCTCTTAACCCTAATCAAAGAAGCTTCTATTTGAAGTAGATGGTGGTTAATATGGAGGCCCACAACTGACCAAGGCACAGAAGAGATTAAGAAACTTAAGAATGCTCAACCCTGAATGGAACATCTAGATCACACCCTCTTCTCTCAAGGTCCATGAATCTTTGTGGAAGGACAAGCAGAAAGGCTGTGTGAGCTATGAACCAGAGGTGGCCCATGACTACAAGGAAATAGTGTTCTCTGGACACAAGAAGGCAACTACACATATGAACTCATAGTAGTTACTACAGCAGACACAACACAGTTCAAGAACAGGCGATACAAAATCTAAGCATGGAAAGAGAAGGAAGACACGAAATCTCAGTCCTACCCAAGGAGCAACTGGCAATTGATAATGTCTGGGGAAAATAGAGAGTCCATTTTCTTGAAGAGCATTGCTACTGGCAACTTGACCACGCTCAAGTGGCAGGCCACACATCCGGGAGTATATGGGGAGCACAAGCTGAACTTGGCCGGATCAAGAAAGAGTGAGAACAAGAAATTGTGTGGGTAGAGAGGAAGGAGCAGCTCTGGAAGGAGTTCAGGGCATTGTGAATCCAGTCAAAGCTCATTCTCAAGGAATCAAAAAAGATAACCTTTAAAAACATCTAAAGTATCTATATGAAACAGTCTATTTCATATACAACACACCTTGATTTAACTATATAATTATTTATCTTCAAATAATTTTTCTGTGATATGAAAATAGGTATAAGTAAGCCTATTGGATCTGATCCATTTTAATCTTTTTTATTATTTCAGTAAATTTGTGCTTTGCCAATTTCACACATGGATATGCAGCTCACTGAGCCTCCCACCGCTCCCACCTCCTTACCACCCCTTTCTCTTTCCTCTCTTCCATACAGAGCTTTTCCTTGAGTTCCTTGAATTGGTAAACAGAGAAACTAAAACTCAGAGAAGAAAGCTGGACCTCATACTGAAAAGTCAGAATTTACCCCCAAACTAATCGCAAAGCCCAAGCATTTCCTTCAGCCCTTCTGCGTTTGCCTCTACAATATTTTTTTTAAATTTTTTATTGATTTTATTGAGCAATACATTTTTCTCTGCTCCCCTCCTTTCCTCTCCCTTTCCCTTCAACCCTCTCCCATGGTCCCCATGCTCCCAATTTACTCAGGAGATCTTTTCTTTTTCTACTTCCCATGTAGATTAGATCCACGTTTGTCTCTCTTAAGGTCCTCATTGTTGTCTAGGTTCTCTGGGGTTGTGAATTGTAGACTGGTTTTCTTTGCTTTATGTCTAAAAACCACTTATGAGTGAGTACATATGATATTTGTCTTTCTGGGTCTGGGTTACCTCATTCAATTTGTTTTCTAGATCTATTCATTTGCCTTCAAATTTCAAGATGTCATTATTTTTTTCTGCTGTGTAAATGTACCACATTTTCCTTATCCATTCTTCGGTTGAGGGGCATCAAAAGAACAAATAATCTAATGAAAAAAAAAATGGAGTACAGACCTAAACAGAGAACTCTAAACAGAGGAATCTAAAATGGTGGAAAGACACTTAAGGAAATGTTCAGTATCCTTAGCCATCAGAGAAATGCAAATCAAAACAACTCTGAGATTCCATCTTACACCTGTAAGAATGGCCAAGATCAAAAACACTGATGGCAAGTTATGGTGGAGAGGATGTGGGGTCAAGAGAACACTCCTGAATTGATGGGGGGAGTGCAAACTGGTACAGCCTCTTTGGATGTCAATGTGGCAATTTCTCAAAATATTAGGAAACAACCTTCCTCAAGACCCAGCAATACCACCTTGGGGTATATACCCAAAGGATGCTCAATCATATCATAAGAACATGTGCTCAACTATGTTCATGGCAGCATTGTTCATCATTGCCAGAACCTGGAAACAACCTAAATGTCTCTCCAATATCTTTTAAGATTGTTTATTTTTATTTCATGTGAATGGCTGTTTGCCTGAATGTACAGATGGACAACATGTGGGTATCCTGTGTCTAAGGAGACAAAAGGAGGGAGTCAGATCCCCTGGAACTGGCCACAGAAGGTTGTGATAAACCATATGTGTGCTGAGACCCTAACATGGGTGCCCTGGAATAGCAACAATTGCTCTTATCTGCTAAGCCACCTCTCCACCCTCTCCCTCTGGAAATTGAGGCTCATAGATGTTTGCAAAGTCCCTGACATTGACTTTGGTTAATTCCCTTTGAGCGAGGAGACCCTTCATCCTGACTGTCCCTGAGCAGCTACAGTGTGCACCCTCCTCAAATGCCTCAGTGACAAGTGCTTTCCCGTACACTAGCCACCAAAGACACTCTTTAGAATCTCCTTATGGCTTCTGATGGCTTCAACGAGAGACAGAGGTGATTCCTTCCAGTGCTGGATAGTTGCCTGGTCCACTGTGGTGAAGATTTCTAGCAACTACTTATAAAAGCCAGACTTTTCATTCGGGTTTCTAAAACACATTCCAAAAGCGTACTTACAAATTATGGCTAACATTCCCGAAACCCAACCAGTTGATTTTTCTAAAATGAAATGACTGAAAAGACTCTTTCTGCCCATGCAAATCATCAAAATGTTTCTACAAATCAAAGTTCGAATCGAGAAAAACCAAGAGGCATGCCAAGCGAAACAGTTAAATCACAGAACTCCTGAAGTCAGGAGCCTGCCTGCAGAAGCAGAGAATACCCAGGCGCTGAGCTGGCTGATTTACTGTCTGGCAGCAGGGAGGGCAATGCTCCTGCCTTTGGCCCCAGCAGGAGGGAAGAAAGGGAGCCTGCAGGAGGAGCAGACTCTAAAGAGCTAATCAGAACAGGATGGTGGAGAGCAATCAGCCGGAAGCTGAGGCTTGATGGGAGAGTCTTCCAAGGAAGCTGAGCATTTGGGGAGACAAGTAAACCACACTGAAGATGATAAATGAGCCGACCCATCACTGGGGTAGACATTGTTACTTTAGGCAATTAAAGTGCAATATTGGCTATTCTTTGTCGGGCTGTTATCACGGTTAGCAGAAAGCGCTAACAACTTTTCAAATCGACAAAGCCATTTGGGTTTCTGACTGAGGTAATTAGTTTCACTATACGATAATTTTTTTTTTTAATGGATAAGAACTCCGTCACTCCTTTCAAATGGTACAAAAGCCATTTTTTTTTTCATTTAACACATTCACAGACAGGGATACAAAAGTCAGCTTCAAACACGGTATCATTTTAGATATTGATTATGGTCGCAGACTCACAAGTATCTTTGATCAATGAGACAGAAAAGCCTTCCAGCTACACAAGTTTAAGGCCATATTAGTACCAGGTGCCTCTTAAGCCTGCAATGCACACGATTGGACAGAAGGCTCGGTTTCCTTTTCAGGTGAAGATGCAGCAGCTACAGAGAAGTTCAGCTAAGCTGCAGAGCCACAGAGCTCCGAATGGTGGCTGGTCTGTTCCTAAGGGTCAGTGGGATTCTGGCAAGGAGCCTGTAGCTGTACCCAGTTGCCAGTCTAGAGTGTGTGCTGGGCCTGTGAGCAAGCAAGTCTTAACCACCTTCCATACACTGAGATTGACCACATTTCAGTATCCACTCTATCAAGTCCTCCCCGTTAGGTGCCTTCAAAACGCTGCTGAACATGAGTTAGAACTATTCAGACTGGCCCGAAGGGGTTGACAGTGATCCTTTCCAATATGCATTGAAAGGGCTGCTGTTATACTTTAAGGAGTTGTATTTTCAAGAGCAGCTTCTTGATCTCCTGTTCCAGAAAGGACTTGTGGGTTCTCTTCACTGCAGAATAAATTCATCTGTCCTACAGTGGGTTCTTCTCCAAGAAATGAAGCTGGCACTCTGGTGCTTACAGATTACAGAGGTCCCAACCCAGACAAGTGTCCCTATGGATACCTGTGTGCCACCCAAGAGAAGCTCTGACCTGAACAAAAATGTCTCCCTTCCTTAAGACCACATCCATTTAATAGGAGGACTATCTGTCAAACTCTTTGGAAACTGCATTCTACAAACAAGCATGGTGGTTTCAGTTGACTACACGGTCAATAAGAAGAACTCACTCAACAAAATTTATAGAAAACTTAACATTGAAACTAGTATGCAAATGATATATTAGAGAAAAGCAACTAATAAAACAGAACATCATAGGATACACACACACACACACACATATATATATACACACATATATCTTAAAACTGGTCTTGCAAAGGCTGCATAATCCATCAGTATCTGAACCACATTTATATCAGAAATCTCTTATACATTCGACTGAGCTAAACATTATTCCTAGTTTATAACACTGTCTGCTACCATACAGGGCCACTCTCAGTAGGTGGGTATTTCCTTCTCAGCAGTCA